ATCTTCAACAACTCTCACTTCTCCGTTTCTGTTCCAGCATCTCATAGGATCACAACTACTTCACCGTTCACTCAGCTCTATCAATGAATTACTTTTGCTCAGATCCACACTTTGAAATACTCCATTCCTCACAAAATACTCTTTCATGAATTAAAGGAGTTTTTTTCAGGACATTATTGTCCATCTCCATAGGTTTAACAAAAGAATATTTCAGCTTATTAAGGCATCTCCTTGTTTCTCTGAAATATATTATACTGTCAGTTCTCAGAAATGGCCAGTTATTGGCCAGGAGAAAAACTCCCATCAGCCTCCAGCAGCTTTAACTTCCTTAGGTGTTTCTCTTTGTTTCTTAAATGTCAATCCATCATGCCTTCTCTTCTCACAAATCATAGGAGTGTAGTGCTTAAGAATCCATGGATGTTTCTCATGGCTTTTTGTATATAAGGGATAATCTTGAATTTTATGGCTTGGGAAAAAATACAGATTAAACTTAAGTTATAAAAGTTAGAATGATTTACATGTAGCTGAGAAGTAGGGATTTGTGAAGAAAAGCAGATGTTATAATGAAAAAAATAGAAAAAAATAAAAAAGATTCAATAGTAATTGATTTTACTAGCTTGGGTTTCATCTCTAGATTAGATGAGAATAAGTACCCCAGAGCCTGCATTTTTGCAACTTTGTTTCAGTGATACTTGTTAATAATCAGAGTATAGAGACTAAAGTGGGTATTAGTGCATAATTTGTATTTGGTTTTGTGTGCCAGTGAAGTAATAATGAAAAATAACTTTCCATCTCTTAGGAAAAAAAAATCTCTTAAAAAACTCTTAGAAAAAGAAAAGTGGCACAGTTTTGGCATTTGTTGTCACTTTCAGTTTCATCTGAAGAGCTTGAGCCCTGTCTCTTATTCTTGGGGATAGAGCAGGGTTGTCAAGTAAGGGAACAATTAGAAGTGCTGAGCTCTTGTTGTTTGGTCCAGTGATATGACCAGATCAAAAAAGGACCTTCCAGCTTTTTATAGGTGAGCAGCTCCTTGGGAGAGAGGAGGAGGGAACAGCATCCACATCATTTGCAGGATATTTTGTTTTGTAGGTATATACTCACTGTAAATCTTCCTCCACAATTTATTTGTGGAAGCTGGATCACCCTCCAGCCCGGTGCATTCAATTTATGCTGGATTTGCTGTGGATACAGTGCTGAAGAATTGTCTGATGAATGTGTTTGACTTAGACAAACCCAGCTTAAAAAAAACTGGGACTCTTGGGAAAATGTCCTGGGAAATGTGCATATCCTGTACCCTAAGTGTGTGGGGAAACCTCTTGGTCATTTGATGCTGTCTGCAGAGTATCCTGTCTAAGCAGTGCAGTGCTGACTGAGTTTGGGGCAGAAAGCATTTATGGTGTCCAAAAGCAGGTGAGGCTCTCTTCCCTGAGTCAGGGGAGCAAATAAAAAAGCTAATGCTGTGCTTATCTGGTCGTTGCATTTTTTTATTTTCTTTCCTTCGGGACTTCACATTACCCTTTTGCTTTTGATTAGATTTGAGACAGAAGCCATATGATTTTTTTTCAGCCAGATTCAGCCTATAAAGGTTTTCTTCTAAGATAGATTAGAAGTCACTAGACAAAATCTTGAGCATGGGCTGGTATGTTGAGAAGTGAGTAGTCCTACTTGTGTTTCCACATTTATTTATTTAGGAGTAATTGAACATCTACATCCCTTTAGCAGTCATGGGAGTTTGGCATCTAAGTGCAGCAGACAGCTTTGGAAATCTGCTAAGCTTTTAACACTGTACCTTCTGATATTTTCTAGCTGTTTGGTACAAGTGGGCAGGGAGAGTTAAAAGAAAAAGATCCTGGTGGCATTTTTGATGTGGAAGCCTTCCATGGAAGCTTCTGGAGGGAAGAAGAGTGGCTTCTCCTGGCCCTTGATATGCGGATACAGTGTGGTGCCTTTGGTATTTGCAGGGGGGTATTCCAAAGAGTGATGGAAGCCAGAGTTGCTTAGCTATCCAGATGAGGTTAGAAGGAGGCCAAATTCCTCTCTTCCATAATGTATTTTGCCCTGATAACCATGTTCCTCAGAAGTGGAGCTGTGCTGTTCTTGGCACAGGCAGAGAAAGTAGCAACCAGTCCCTGTCTGAAGCAGTTTACAGAGGAGGGAATTGAAATTGTTTGGTGCGAGAGTTGGAGCTGGTTAATGACAGCAAAGAACAAGTTAAGTTTATTTTTATTTTTCCAGTCATTCCTTTTGCAGGAGGATGGTTTCCTGGAGGGCATGTGAAGAGGACAGGGGAGGCAGAGGGGGAGGGTCAAAGGAATGGGTCCTGCAGTAGCAGAGCCACTTGTTTTGAGACAGCAGGTTTGTAGTGTTTGACTCACTTCTGTTCCTGCAGCATCTATTATTTTGTCTTTTTTTCCTTTATATCAGGTGGCTTGTCTATTCAGCTAAAGAAGTGATTTCACTTCCACGACTCCATGTATGTAGGATTCAAACCATCTTATTTTTCTGAGGATCTGGCCTTCCAAATAGCTTGTTTCAATGCTTACAAGCTTATTTAGGACTTTGGGGCTGTTGCAGAGACCACCATTCCTTATTATTTCTGAGTTATTCAGAGTATTTTCCTCCCTCTCTCTTAACGGAGAGGCAGGGATGTATTTTCCACTCTATTTTCCAGTATTTAAACATTCAGTATTGCCGATTACATTCTAGTCTCACTTGCTTAGTCTGTTTGAGTGTAGTCTGTAACTTCCCAAATGCAAGGCCGAAGAGTTCTTCGGCTATAGGATCCTTTTGTTTCTCTTGTCTCTTTTTGTATGCAAAGCATTCCTAGGAGGCTGGGCAGTGAAAGGCTCTTTGTCTGGGAGCTGGTGAGAGGAGAGTACTGGAAGGCTGCAGAAAGGCTGTTCTTTAAACCAGTTGTGTTGTTAACTCCTCCTAACCCGTATTTAATGATCTGTTGTTCATGGAAAGATGAGAGATAGGCAGAGATTTATATCTGGCAACATAAGGAACCATTATATCCTTCTCCAGTTTTGTACAGAAAACTGCCTGCTCTTTATTGCTGTCTTAGAGATTTCTCCTGTAAAACCCAGCTTGCGTCTCTAGTGGGATTAAAACACAAGTGCCTAATGTTCTGCGAAGTTGTATTTAATATTTCATGCAATAGTAGGACAATGATATTGGGACACATCTCAATAAGTTTTCCTCAAAAAATTAACTGCAAGGTTTGAAAACTGAATATAAAAATTTAATTTTTCTTTTAAAAAAATTCTCTAGCAGGGGGAAAGTGCATTTTGTCTACTGGCTAAGATATGTTTTAGGCATCTTACAGAGTAGGAGATGGAAATCCTATCCCTTTAACAACAGGTCTGTGATTCTTATATACGAAGATGATATGCCGATAGAAAAACTATAACTCACAGAGTAGTTATAAGAGTAGGTATGAATTTATTCAGCACTGAGGTGCATGGGGAATGCACCTCCAAAAAGCATGCACACCTTTTAGATTTGGCTTTCTCTTTTTATCCTTTACAAACTAGGGTTGCACAACACGCCTAATACATATTCATTTCCTAACTCCACCTCACTTCATATTACAATTAGCTCCACGCCCCTTTGTGGCTGCACAGTGGTCGGTTTTGGTCAGTTCAGTGGTCGTCTGGCGGGGGGGTCTTTGGGATGAGGTCAGCAATTTCCTCCTTAGCTGGACTTTTCACCTTGTCTTCTTGTGCATGCTCTTTTTAGTCCTTTGACCACCTTTCAGATGTTCCTTCCGGCTTAGGGATCCAAAGAATCCCCTTATCCTGTGGTGCCTTTGTCTTTGCATCCTGTTTGTGTATTCTAGCTCTTTATCTTTTCTTGCTCTTGTGGGATCATTACAGGTTTTTGGCAGCTCCACCCCTTCTTCTGGTCAAGCATTTCTTTATGCTTAATTCCTAATTCTTAATTTCTCTTTTTCAAAGCCTTAGACCAATACTTGAGAGGGGCATAAAACTACCACCACTTCCATGCATTGAAATATTTTTGGATCAGTTTGTGACAGTTCTGATATGAACATTTGGAACAAAAACTGTTCTCTCTGTCTGATCTTACGAGGTTGTTGTAGCACAAGCATTAAGGATGCACATGTTTTAACTCTTCAGATTAATTGAGATGTATAAACCTATATGGATAAAATCAGCTTGTATTCTTATTCTTAAACCTGCCTGTAGGGAGCTATGGAATTCTTCATGGATAATTACGGAGCTGTAGATCCAAAACAATGGGCACTCCTGCTGAAAAATGAAGTGCCTGATCTTGCCTGCAAGGCACAGGGTTGTGCCTTGTAGGTAAGAGATTTCTGTTTGGCACTGTTGGAGTTGTGCCCAGGGTTCCCTGTTTCCCAGTGGTGTTTTCACAGCATTGTGGGCTTTTTTCACTTATGTCAGGAGTTTGGGCACAAAGTTAGCACTTGTCACCTAAGAAACCTTGAAATAACACTTGGAGCTGTTAGGAATGGCAGGTGCTAGAGACACAGAAACTGTATAGGGAAGGTGGTTTTGTTACAGTCCTGTTGCACACTGGAATATTGCCCTGGGAAAAGATGAAGTGAAAACAGGCAGAAGGGTCTTGGAGCTGTGAGCAAAGACATTGTTCTGGTTGATTCCTCCTGTGTGCAGGCTGATTCATATAAATTAACAAATTAGGTTGGAAGATACTGGCTGTTTCTTTAGGATATTTTCCCTCCTAAATGAAATAATCTTCAAGGTCCTTAATTCTGCCCACCTGTTAAGATTCCTTGTAGTTTGAGCTGGAAGCACTTTGTAGTTGTTTATGGTAATTGTATACAAATTACGCTGTCTTGGTTTAGGGCAAATTCGGGAGAGAACTATTTGCTTTTATTCACTAGAGTTTTTTCTAAAATCCACCTCCTTTTTCAGGTTTGGAAACCTGGAGACCTCAAGCCATGGAGAAGTGGCAAACCTGAATTCCTTGGACTCTGAGATGGTACTCAGAGCGTAAGTTTGGATTTCACTGTGGAGCAAGCCCAGGCAGGATTTGGTCTTGGAGGAGGATGTGAGCAGCAGAGCTGTTGTTTCCCTTGAAAATTCACAGCACTGTTTGCATGCTTAAACAAGCATGTGGAAAGGCCAAATGTCCATTATCTTGTAACATATCCAATAATACAATCCAGTCATCTTTTGCAGGGAAATTATTTTGGAATTAAACATGAGATGAACACATCTAGGCCAGCATTTTGCTAATTAAACAAACAAGGAGTGTTTGTTTCCTCTGCCTTATCTGTGGCAGCAAGTGGTTATTGCTTATGAGTGATTTTATTGTCATTACAGCAATGCCTGCTGTACATTACAGCAAAGCTGAGGGTGACTCAGGCAACATGTGTGCATGGATCTTTTCCATTAGTGCCCTGTGATTTACAGTGCTTTTAGAGTGAAATTTAAATTCTGAGGGCATCTTCATTTGCAAAAGAAATATCAAAGCTGTTCTGAACTGCAGTTTAAATGAGAAAAAAGGTGGTTTGGCTATCCTCTTAGGGTTTTATCTTTAGACATTGGGTGTAAAATGTGCCTTAGGTCATCAGCATTCGTACTTTGACATCTGTGGTTTACATGCACTGTGGCATGTGTAGTTATATTTGATTACAGAATGAAAATGTTTGATTCTTGTCAGCATTACTGGTTTTCTGTTCCTCTTGCCCCATGGGACTTGATGTAGTAGCTCAACCCTCAGTCCTTCCTGGCTGGTAAAATGTTTTTCTTCCATTTTGCTATGAGAACTCCTCAAAGAAAAGCTGGTAATTAAAACTTGGTTACAGGCACCAAGGAGGCAGCATTATGTCATGGGTAGAAGCAATAACAGCCAGCCAGTCATTCCCACACTTCCATCCAGATTGAGCTCTAGGGTCTCTTCCAACTTTGGGCAAACCATTTGACATCCCCTGATTTCAGTCATAAAACATGAGCTAAAGTTGTATCCTTCATGCAGAATAGCTGAAAGATTTGTACTGGGTGTGAGGAATTAGTTTCACCAGTATAAACCATGGTGGGATTAATCCTCCAGCTGACTTTTTGTGGTCACAGAGGACTTTGATGGTGAGATGGAGAGAAAAATGGTGAAAGTAATCGAGATGTTACCTGTGTCACTTGGGCTTTGGGAAAAATGCATCAACTTTTTTGTTACACCTGCAGGTGAGTGCAAGCAAATAACATTTAGTAGGAGAGTGTTTGTTTTGGTTTGTTTCTGTCTTTGTTTTTAGTGAAATTATTTTCCTCCTGATATACATATAGTTTACCAGCCTTGTCAGTTGCTTCCTGCTGCATCAATGCTTTTTTCCCTCTTGGCACATAACACCTTTGCACAGCCAGGGACAGACACATGGATGGAGCCTGTGGTCCTAGTCCTGTGGTAGCTCAACTTCTGATGAATTTTCTGACAGATTTTTCATTAATGTAGTTCAGAACAGCTGATTTTGATCCTTTGGCTTTCATAAGATATCCTTTATGCGTGAATTTGATATCTTTACTCAAATCTGTGTCTGTAAGAAGTTCAACAATGAAGTTGTCAACAAAGTTGTTTGTCAGGTATATTTAAACAGATCCCATATAAATATGAATTCATGTTCCTTCTCTGAAAATTTCCATTGCTTTCAGTTGCTCTGGCTACTTGTCTCTTAGGTACGATTAATGGTATCTGGAAAGTGTTTGGCTTTGTAGTCATGTTGTGAAACATATTCTGGTAGTTCAGGTTTTCTCTTGTTTGAGATAATTCTAATATAATTGCATTTGCCCTCTTTTCTCATAGAACAGAAACATGATATAATTGTGCTCTTGGTTTTATATGACTTGGAGAAACAGGAGGAAGCAGCAGTGGAGCCTTGTTATTTCTTGCCATTAACTCTTTATTTCTCAGAGGAAAAATATCTCATGGGGAAGCCTGTGGTCTGTGGCCAGAGATCTTCTGCATTTATCAGATTCCTGTTGTGACAGCTTAGAGGATTTAAAAAGCCAGTTGGGCCATTAGAATTGTGATGCAATTTAAAGCATTTCCACTGGTTTGACACAAAAAAATGCTGCAGAAGTTAAAAACAACTGCAGGAGAGTTTATGACTTGTTAAGTACCTCATGGAGCCTGAAAGAAGGAGGAGTAAAAATTGAGGGTATGTGTGGAAGGAACATTTTCCTGTGTGGTGCTCTGTAAGCCCACAGGTTACTACTGCATTCTACATCGAAATTCGCTGTTCTTTTTGCACTTGTAGTATGGAATTATGATGTATTTTGAGGAGAATGCCTGATGTTAATGATCTGTTCTTTTTTAAATTATGTGAATATCCCACACAGTGTTTATGTACCTGCTTCAGTGTTCAGAACTTGCAAATCCTAACCTAGGGCTTGAGTACATTTGTGGCACAGCCTTGTTAGAGGGGCTTGTGGGAGCTTTAAGCCTGCCTTTCTGTTCCCAGATCCCATAGTGATTCCAGACTGCTGCTGTGATGTGTAGCTGTTACTGACCCAAGATCACTTCAGCTGTGTTCAGAAACGTGCCCTCCTATGACCCCTTCTGTCAAGGGGATTTTCTCTTCACTTGAACATCATTATCATTTTTTGGGCTGCTGGAGTGGTCAAAAAATTGTATTTTTCAGCAGGGATCTGATTTAATTACATCTAATATGTGGTTTAAACAAAATTGCCATGCTTTTCAAAATACTTTGGATCTTAGAGTTGTGAGTAAACTCATCAAAACCATCAAACATTTTGTAAGCTTCTAATAACCTGCCTTTTTCGTTCCCTATCAGAACCCACCTTAGCTTTTCATGTTCAGTAACTTGCTTTTCACACTTCTCACTACTTTCAGTCAGTCAGACAGTTCATCATCACAAGTAACAGAAGACTAAAGTCCAGAAAGGGTCATATTTTCCAGCTAAACATCTGAGTTAGGTGGACTTCAACCTGTGTTTCCAGGAATGTGATGCTGTGTTTCTTAATTGTCTGGTAAGGGAGTTGAAAGGAATAGCTTATTTGACCCTCTAACTCTTGTAAGTAATTTTTTTGTTCTTCCCGTTAACATATCAACAAGATTGCCTTGTGCTATGTGTCATGCTGCATGTTTTTGTGTCAAGGGGTGACAGACTTCCCTTCTCATTGTAGGTTGTTGTTGTCTTTGGAGTCTTCTGTCTTCTCTGCATGGTTTTTAGTTCAGGACTGACTTCTGTTCACATTCAAAAAAATGTGAAACACACCAAAGTGTGTGACAATTCAGAATAAAACCATATATATATTAAACACAAACAAATTATCAGCATGATTAATTGTATTAAGATTTAAAGAGAGGCTCATAAAATTTCTGCCATAATTTGGTTATGTTCTTGCCTTTTAAATAAGGTTGTATAGTTCAAATGTGTTGTTTGGTACATGTCACCTGATGAAAAGCAAATGAGGAAAGAAAGCAAAAAGTAGTTCTTTCTCTTACCCATGTCTAATGTGAAGGCTTGTTGCACCTCATGAGGCAGAATCATGGAAAACCTGAATGGGATAGTCACCTCCTTGAGATCTTCAGCACCTTTATGTATTCTGGGAAGGGGGTCAGCAAGCCAAGCAATTGATGCAGTGTGGGGCCTTCAGTCCTCCCCAAATGGCAAAATGCACTGCCCAGGAGATAGAAATAATGCTTTTGGTGATAGAACCTATCAACTGATTTCTCTTTGGAGCAGACCAGTTCCTCAGTTAACTCTGTTAAGAGGTTGGGTTTTCTATACAGGATGATCTGTGGAACAACTCGTGGTGTTTTCCTTCTCTAGTGAAGGACAGTGTTATTTTTGATTTCTGGAATTTTGATTAGTGGGCAATTAGTCCATTTCTGGCAGATAGCTGCTCCCAAAGGCTCTATGAATTTAAAGAGGTGGTGTGTTAAAAGAACAGACACTGCTTTCCCCAAAGGTTGACGTTGAAGACCAGGCAAAAGACTTGAACTGAGAAAGGAACATAAAGCCTTCACAATATAAAATATTGTAGCAGCTTGTACCTTCTGGGATTCAGTGGCTCCGCAGGATCCTGAGATGTCTCTGGGCATTGTGAGTGTCCCAAGCCAGGCCATGGCACTTGAATCCCTTGCTAAGCCTGTGACACCTGGGGAGCTGAGGTAGTACATCAGTGAGAGGTACTGAGCTGACTGCCACCAGTTTTAAAGATTTGTGCCAGTGCAGTACCCAGAAGTGATTCATTACCGTCCAGACACAAAAAGCTGTCCAGGCTGGCAGTCCAGGCTTGCCTGCGATGTTTGCATTTGGTTCAAAAAGTTTAATGGTAACTGAATCTAGTTCCTTGGAGACCTTACTCAAAAATACAGGAATACAAACCTGGGGTTACATGCAGGAAAGGTTTTTCGAGAGACACACAATATTGGTCTGTAAAATTGAACCATAATTGTTTGTTTGTTTGCTTTCCATAGGTCTATCATTAGTACTGCCATGGCTTCTGAATCCTTGAGTAACAGCAAAAAGTCCTTTCAAACTTCCTCTTGGATTACAAGGCTGTGGTTTCCTTCTGTTACTGGCTTTGGTTTGCTGGTTTGGCGTCCATTGGTGGTGTTTTCCCTTAGATGGATGACAGGCCACAGAAATGAATTAAAATACTTGGGAATTTTTTGCTTGTCTTGAATGTCAGCTCATAGTTGCATTGGCTTTATTATCAAAATGTGGAATTTATTTGTTATTAAAACTTGGAATGTAGCAGAATTGAAAAACGCAGACAAAGCAACTTTAAGCTAAACTGAAACCTTGTTTCATTCCCCAGCATTTGGGGGAAATAGTTCAAATAGAGAAAATTAAGGAATTACTCAGTGACCACGTGGCATGTCTTGCATGTCTTGTTCACCTCCCCTCTTCTGTATTAAAACAGCAAGTACCAAAACCTTCAGTGTAGTACCACAGCATTTGGAGTTTTTCATAGTGACAAGCAAACATTCTCCCATGGCTTTTTATGCGTTCAGATCTTCCTGACCAAAGCCTTGTCTTTTGGTTCCTTCTGAACCAAACAGTCCCACTGGAAAGCAATGTGCACAGTTACAGCACTGCAGAAGTAAAACTGGGCCTGAAAGATTGTACTCAAGGACAATAGACACCAAAGGAAAGTGAGACAAATGGAAGTAAATTGTCTGGGAGCTTCTGATGCCTGGGAAATCCATGGTGGGGAGATGTATTTGGGAGAGCAACAAGCATTCATTCCAGTAAAGAAAGTTAAGCTGAAATAACATCAGAATCTAGTGTGGTTACATGAGAGTCAAACAAAGGGCAGTGGAAAAGTGGGAGAGTTATGAAAACAACCAGAACCAAGCAGAAAATCAAATAAATAAAAAATGATTGGCATCTCAATTAAAACAAGGTAGCAAAGCTCTTCCCTTAGTGGCTTTATGTGCGTCCCAGCAAAAGTCTCCCATATGTTATTTAACAAGTTTTTTCCAAATCAGAAAGAGCGGACCATTTGCTGGAAGTCATCATTAGGATGGTATTTATAAACAAACTGGGTATGAGAAGCCACCCTCAGAGCAGTCTCTTCTTGTGGTTTACTTACATTTTACCTCTGATTTAACAAGCAAAACTGAGAAAATACAGGTGGCTTAATTTAGTCTGTGCAAGCAAGCCTGAGAGTTACTGCCTGGACATTGGAGGAAAGGGAATAGCCGTCTGTAATGAGTATTTTCTTGATGGATTTAAGAATGTATTTGGCAAATTATAAGTAATTTTGTGCACATTCTTACAGAATTTTTAAGAAATTAATCGTTTAAGCTCTTCTTGCAGTTGAGGTTACCCTTATTATCCCTAAATGTTGAGATTCCCTTCTCATTCTTTAGAAATAATTGTTTTGGGATGAAAACACTGCTTTTGCCTTTTTGGTCGGAAATTGTGGTTTAACAAGTGTAAGTGCCAGGTCCTGCACTTTGGCTACAACAAACCCCTGCAACGTTACAGGCATTGGGGATGGTGTGGCTGGACAGTGCCCAGGAAGAAAGGGACCTGGGAGTACTGGTCAACAGCCAATTGAACATGAGCCAGCAGTGTGCCCTGGTGGCCAAGAGGGCCAAAAGCATCCTGGCCTGTATCAGGAATAGAGTGGCCAGCAGGAGCAGGGAGGTCATTCTCCCCCTGTACTCAGCACTGGTGAGGGCACACCTGGAGTTGTGTGTCCAGTTCTGGGCTCTCAGTTTGGGAAGGACGTTGAGACACTTGAGAGCCTCCAGAGGAGGCAATGAGGCTGGTGAGGGGCTTGGAACACAAACCCTGTGAGGAACGACTGAGGGAGCTGGGGTTGTTTAGCCTGGAAAAAAAAAAGGATGCCTTTTATTAAGGGAGACCTTACAACTTCCTGAGAGGTGGCTGTAGTCAGGAGAGGGTCAGTCTCTTCTCCCAGGCAATCACTGACAGAACAAAAGGACACTGTCTTAAGCTAATGCCAGGGGAAGTTCAGGTTAGATATTAGGAAAAAATTCCTTACTGAAGGAGTGATTGGGCACTGGAATTGTCTGCCCAGGGAGGTAGTGGAGTCACTGTCCTTGGTAGTGTTTAAAAAAAGACTGGACATGGCACTCAGTGCCATGGTTTAGTTGCTGAGGGGGTGTTAGGTCATAGGTTGGACTTGATGATTTCAAAGGTTGTTTCCAACCTAGTTAATTCCATGATTCTGTGAAATTCTGTCATTAATTCCTATCGAATCCTGTCAGGACTGTTAGAGTTGTCTTCCCCGTAGAGACAAGGCCAGGCAGAATTCCAGTGTGGTGGGAGGGTCTCATTGTCACCTCCACTGTGCCCTGATGAGCTGGCAGAGCTGTAGGACTTGGAGCTGCCACAGCCCTGTCACCTTCTGTGCAGCTTATGGGCAGAGGAGGGTGGGTGAGTTCTTGGTCCCACTTTGTGAACAACAGGCTCAGATACACTTCACCTACCTGGATAGGTTTTGGAGACTGAAACCTTTGGAGATGGAATCCAAGAAAAGCTGGTGTAGAAATCAGAAGGCTTTCTGATAGGTGTGAAACTAGAAAGCATTGCTTAGCAGAGCCTGGAGTCTGTGGCCAGCAGCACAGGAGTTAAGCACTGAGGGTTTTTTTTTTATCGGCAGGAAAGGAAGAATTTATACCTCATAATCAGTCCATGAAAAATGTAGTATTTCTTGCCTGAACCCTGTCTGAGCTCTGGGAAGGCCCCTGTTCCTATCTGAGTCTGTTGAGTACAGAGTTTCTTTGCAAGGGCAGCAAATATAAAGCTACTGCAAGATATGGGCAAGTGTCCAGCCCATTTCTGGAAAACTGCACTATTCCTTGCTCCAGTAGAAAGGCTGGGCAGCAGGAGATCACTAGGGCACAGTGTACCTCTTCTCTCTTTCCTATTTGCCCTCTTGACTGAAATGATTTTGCTTGCAAATTCAGTGTCTGTAGCTGTGAACTCTTCACCCTGCTCTGGGAGACTGTATCTGTCTTTAGCTCTGTTTATTGTTCAGTTTAAGAAAGTGGCCACCAACCAAGCCTCTGGAAATGGAGTTTAGTGTAGGGAGTGTGTGAATAATAATAGTACAAGAACTTGCCCCATGGAGAGGCTCTTCCTTCCAAAGAATGGCTGAATTGGTAAATAGTTGTAGGAATAGAATACCTAGCCTGGTTTTTGGTGTTGGGACCAGGGGGGATGATGGTTTGTGATGTGGGCGGGGAAAAGGAGCATGGAGCAGGAGGAAATAGACTATTTGGGCATGGAGTTGAGGCACAGTGTTCCCTGCCTGTGGTGGGAGTGAGAGGAAAACACTGGGCATAGAACAGTGGTGTTTGTGACTGTTGGTGCTGATGTGACAGCATTCTGGGTGTGTGTGTGGGGCTAGAGAGGACAAATGAAACTGGGAGGGTGGCAGGAGAGTCTGGGAGCATCTACCTGTTGTCGTCTTTCCTAACCTTGGCATGTGGAGCTGGTCTGGCACTGTTGGTAATGCTAAAGCTTGCAATGAAACCTGAAAGACAGAACATGTTTGCCTGTTAATTTTTGATTGTAAATACATTTCATTCCTTTGAAATTGCAATTCCAGCATTTCTCCTGTCAGCAAGCCTAACCAAAGAACATTACCAATAGATTTCCAAATACTTAAACTGAAAATTCAAAGTTGCCACATTATCAGAACAAGAAGGGAAAGAAACAGACTTAAATGGATGCAACGTGTATGAAATCTGTCTGGTATTAAAAATTAATTGAGTTTTGTGGAAAACCTACACAATTCAGATGAGACACAGAGAGTGGGAGAAACTCTCTTTACCATTTCTTAACTATTTGTATATTTTGGGTGCTGCTGAGCAGCTGAGTTAACTAGAGACTGATATGGTTTCCCAGCTTGCAGCAGGAATGTGCCAGTACACAGCTCCAATACAGTTTCCTATGCTAGAAGAGACTTGAGGTACAGGAATGGTTTTGGAGACATGGAAAGTTCAGGGCCTTTTTCTCAGGAAGTTTAGGTGTTTATTGTGGCTTTTATTCTAAAATAAGGAGGTTAATGTTTTAAGAAAAGTGGTTGTTTTTTAGTAATTTTCTATTTTTGCTACACTGAGTTGAAAATTGTTAACAATATTGCAGATTATTTCTGGAAAACCATAGCTTAAATTGTCTTTATTTTTTTTACAAAATCAAGTTGAAATGATGATAAATCCCTTCAAATACAGCATCTAAGGGCATTCCCACAAGCATATATTGTGCAGTATCTAAGTACCAATCTAACAGATGGGTGTGGATGAAAACCTACATAAATCAGAAAGAGCAAACAAACCAATCACCCCGCTTCAGGCAGGGTGGAAACCACGCTGAATCATCAGCTCTGCTTTCGCCTCATCCCCCTCAGTAAGTACAAGGATTGTTGATGGGTTGGTGTTCTTTTAGCTGCATGTATCTAAGAAAGTCTAGGATAACTTCCCTGAGCAAGGTCCAATGGTCCTACAACTCCTTAAGTATCTTTTTCCTGCTCTTCCAGCATGAGCAGGACACCCTTTTTGCATGCTGTAATTTGACAGTCCCTCCTTGGTTTGTGCTGAAGATGAAATCAAGACTCTGCTGATACAGTTTTAATCACTAAGATTAGCAGGATCACTGTGTCTCCTAGGCTCAGCTCTCTTGGCACTCCCAGACTGACTCTGGCACAGGCAGCCTTGTGCTGCAGCGAGGGTTTCATCCTCCCAGATGAGGCAATCCCACTCACTGTGTGTGCCTGTGGGGATTAGGTTGGGATTGTCTCCTTTTTCTTCCATGAAAACCACAGTTTCATGAGCAGGCAGGCATTGTAGATTGTAGATAAGGGGGAAATATGGCATGGAGGGATATGCAGCTCCTGTGTGGTCCTTAGACTCTGCAGCTGATGAAAGGCTACAGAAGAAGCATTTGATTTAGCATTTCCACTGGGAAGGAGCCATGAATACCTTGTTTCCTCCCTGCTTTTTTCCCACATCCTGGGGAGTGGTTATGGAGCAAACATTGAGCTTTTCCCAGTGGCCCAAGAAATTACCTTGTGTTTTTGATAGTGTGTGTGTAATGTCTGATGGTTGTTAAGCATGGCTGTGGTACAGCTCAGCACAGATACTTCAGGTGGACTGTGAATGTCTCATGTTTCTTGTTCTATTGGATACAGATACACTTAATTCTATCTGGATGCAAACACTGTGTTCTCTCTGTTTACTTGTAGTGAAATAGCATCAGTTTTACGGGCCTGGCTTGATCAGTGCTCGGATGATTTCAGGGAGCCCCCTGACTACATGTGTTTGCTGAAGTTGCTGGATTATCTGAAGAACAATATGCCAAATTCTGACATGGAGAGTAGGGTGCAGAACCTCTTGAAGCAGTTTCAGAACCAAGAAGTAGAAGCTGTTGGTGAGTTACCATTCCCTTCTCTCTTTCTGTCCTCCCAGACTGTAAGATGCCCCAGGAATTTATGTGGAGTACATTTCACCACTTCTCATGCTTATCAATAACATTGTGAGGCTCACCAGCCTTTTTGTCTTTTTTTTTTTGTCTTGTTTGGGTTTATTTTTGTTTTTTAAAAGGAAACACAATCTATGTGTGAGGCTGCAGGCTCTGTGAGGGAAGAAATAGTGTTACAGTGTGAGGTGCCTATGTCTGTTGATCCTGGGGTGACTTGGGAAATCCAACACTTCTCTAATATTTAACCAATGCTTTGACATTCCAACAGCAGCCCACTAGTTAATTGTCAGCACACTTCCCATGCCACTGAGTTAAAACACACAGCTGCTCTCCAGCTGGGCTTCTCACTTAACCTCCCCCCACCCCTTCCCAAAAACCCCAAGCAAACAAGAAACGGAACACAGAGCTGTGACAAAATACAGCTTGAGTCACAAGCTTTGTCCTGCAGCTTTTCTTCCTAGTTACTGTCTTGTCAAAGGAAGTGCCTGTGGATGTTTTTTCCTATTAGAGTGGCTGGCTGCTGGTATCCAAGGACAGAGGAAAATCTTACGTTATAGGGAGTCACAGTCTGCTAGAACAATAGTGAACTGTAGTCACACACATCCCCATATCCTGGTCAGAAAGCTTCCTGTGGCAGAGCTGGGAAGTGGGAAGAGCTCACGTAGGGTGTGAATGAGAACTGGAATCAACTTCTAGCTCTGGTAGAGGGGTGAGAGGGAATAATTCATGCCATAAATCGTAAAGGAAATGCCAGAAAAAAACCTGCTTTCATTCCATAAAAATTACATCTGCCGAGTGTTCCAGAAATACCATGCCAATGCATAATACTACAAAATGCCAAAATAACTGTGACAGGAACAGAAAAAGAAATGCCCAGGCCTTTATTGAGCACAGGTAAGGGAACAGGGTGGCTGAGATACTGATAGTGCTGATGTTTCCTGTGTTGGGTTGCCCCAGCTCAAACAAGGACGACTCATGAGAAGTATATTTGGGTTCATCTGTTCTTCAGAGTGAACAGAAGTTCCCATTAGCCCAGCTTCTGTATTTGTTTACTCAAGTGATAGCTGAAACATTCTTTTTTGAGTCAGAGGTGGACCAGTAGGAATGATAATGTTTTCTTAGTTGTGGCAGAATAGAGGGTGGTTATTAGAGTAAAATAAGAGGAGGGCAATGAAATTAAGCTGTGGGGTCTGCAGAGAAGAGTTTTAGGGTTGTCTTACTTTTATCAGAGCTCCATCTTTGTACATTTTCTTTCAAAATTCCTGATACATTTTCTGCAATCATTGATAATTACTGTCCAAAGCATTCCTGCTGGGTTCTGAATTTTGAAATCTGGGCTCTAATCCTACAGCTTGATTTGGGTAATCAAACCTCTGTTCTGTGCTTCCATCAGCTATGCCAGTAGATTAGATTGCAGTACTAGATAGGAAGATAAAAGCTGCTTCTAGCCTCAATTCTTGCAGGTTGAGCAAGCAAAACAAGGAGGGACAGAGGTTGAAGGGTCAGAAGGAGCACGTGCTTACTCTCGATGCAGTTAAGAGGCAGTCAGACTTTGAGAGGGCTGAGTGGATCAGAGGGGTCCTAAGATGATGAGATGCTTGAGTACAAGGGGATTCCAGCTTGTTGGACAGTAGGGTTGGTTACATATCTGTGAAGGAGAAAAAGAGGAATAAAAAAAAAAGAAAAGGAAAAGTTACACCGTGCTTCAGGACCTCGTTTTAAGCATGCTTAAAGATTAAGCATGAGATTAATCATGAGATTTTGGATGGGGCTGCAGCTCAGTGGTGAGGATTTTCAGTTGAATTTCAAGAGCCAAAAGGAAACGGAGGTTTTACAAAGGCAGAAGGAGTGAGATTCTTGTAGCAGTCCAGTGCATGTCCATTTAATTATGCTAATTGTTACAAAACAGGAAAAGTAGCACTAGAACAGAGGTCTCCATTTACCCCAGTGAGTTCTGCCAATAAATTGTGCAATTCAAATGTACAGATGGAAATCAGCCTGTAGACATAACTTGTTACATCAAAACTGTCACAATTTACATTGGTGGTTATGTTCTGTTAATTACTGGAGGAAGGAACAATGAAGTATTTTGAAAAACAATGATTCTCTATCATATTATCTGCTGTTGCTTTAATGCTCTGGTTTAACTAGGTATGAAGTCTTGCATAACACGCTTTGTTTTTGTAAATGAAATCTCACCAGTAGTAAACTCAGTACTTTGGTTATTAGTCTTCTGACAAGTCCCTATTTTTTTCTCTGTCCTAATGGAGTTACTGTTGCCCTACAGTAAAAGGGATTGGGGTTTATTTTAAGAGTTTCTGTTTGACTTCCTCCTCTGCCATGGGAAACAAAGGCATATTTCTTGGTGCTTGAATTTTTTTCTTCCCAACTTCCGGGAGCCAAAAGGTGACATGGCAGCAGCTGTGGAACCCTTTCCTTTCTGTACTGGGTCAGGTCCCTCAGTGAGGACAGTTCTGCTTTCTTACCTCCTCTCTGCTGCCTAGTGCAGGTTTAGAAGAAACATTCAACAGAATATTGTAGGTGCTTACTGTATTCTATTTCCTGGGAAAAATTCCCTTAGAGAAAAGGTGAAAGTTGCTGAAATAAACTCTCTTCAATATAGCCCATGTAGCCACAAAGGGTGCCACAAAATCAGGTATCTTTGTTTATTTCTGGATAGAAGAGCATTCCTAATGCAGTATTTTGGGGGTATAACTACAGCCTCATGCCTCTGTAGTTTGAAAGGGTTTTTTTCAGATTATAAATACTGAAAAGTAGATTAACAAAACTGTGCAATGTCAGTAAGGAATTTTTGTTGGGGTGGTGTTTTTGTCTTTCAGAAGAATAATTAGCAAATGGCTCAATCCACTTCTCTGCTAAGATTTGTTCGATTTCTTTTTATTCTACTTTTTCCTTGCCAGTTTAATCTTCTGGTCATTTTTCTCACTCATATGGCACAGTGGGGCCATTACATCAGGCAGGACCCTTGGGGTGTTCTGCTGTAATACAGTGATGTTGCAAAATAAATACCTTCTTTGACTCATTGTTTGCTGTATAAATTTACCCAGTGTTGTTTTCCATTCTGGCCAGATGGGTTTTGTAGCACTTCCTCCAGTGACCTGGTTGATGGAGAGGAACTGGAGATCAGCAATCCAGAAGAATTCTCCTCTTTTCAAGACCACATTGTGGCAGAACAGTTGACATACATGGATGTGGTATGTAGAGTATTGCATAACTTTATAGAATAATAATTTTTTTTAAGTTATATTGCTTTAAATATAGAGTTCCAGAACAGGACTGCTGCTGGCACACAGAACACAGCTCTCTGGTTGTTCCAGCTATTTCAGTCATTGGGGTTTTTCCATCTGTAATTTTTTTTAATGTGTAGTTTTTTTGCAAAAGTTATTGGCACTGAGAAATAGCACGTTTTAACTATATCACTACTTGGCTTAAAGATGTCTAGGTACTCTGGAGTGTAGTGCTCAGATTTTCCTTTGTCTGTATCAATTTCCTTCTAAATATCATTATATAAAAAAAATTTATCTTGGTTATGCAGCTGATATAAAGGTGTCCCTTATTTTCCCAGTATTGCTTAGCTGACAGTTCTTTTGGGGCATCAAACTTGTAAAAGAGTATGCCAAAGTATATTTTAAACTAAGGGAGAAATAATGCTTACGTTTAAGTATCATATTAGATTTAGATCAAATTTGTCCTCTAAACCTGTATTTCTTCTTGTAGATAAGAGATTTAGGAGAAACCTGCTGGCTTACCACACCTCTGTTTCACTCTAGATGCTCTTCAGAAGAGTTGTGCCCTACCACTGTTTGGGATCCATCTGGTCTCAAAGGGATAAGAAGGAAAACAAGAACCTGGCTCCAACTGTCAGGGCCACCATCACTCAGTTCAATGCAGTCACTAAATGTGTCATCAGCACTATCCTGGGGACCAGGGAGCTCAAAATCCAGCAGAGAGCCAAGATCATTGAGAAGTGGATTAAAATTGCACATGTAAAGCATTTATGCTGTTTAATGTTTTTTGGGTGTCTTGGAGTGAAGGAGTTGGGAGAGGAGAAAGGGATTGTATACATTGGTCCAAGACCATCTTAGCTCTTTCAATTTTTAACTGATTTTTTTTGTGATACCAAATGAATATTGCCCTTCCTCTCCTCAGTTCTTTCCCACCATGGAAATGGGGTTGATACTTGGCCATGCCAAATCTTAGAGAAGTCCAGATAGCTGATATCAGTAGTTCTTCCCTTGTCCACTGATGGAATCACTCCATCGTGGGAGGCCACTGGCCTGGACAGGCAGAACTTCAACAGCATGTGGAATCACTTCCCTGTCCTCCATGTGCATCAGCAGAGCTTCCAAGAGGATCTTGTAGCAGATTCTATGTTTTTATCATGTTTTTCCTAATCTTTGCAAGAAGGGTTTTTTCCCATGCCTGCTTTCCATAACTCTAGTTTGCTAATTTCCTAGGTTTTAATATTTTACTGTAACTTTCCTAATTCCCCTCAGGCACTGGGCAGCTGGCAATAAACAAGACCTCTCTGGAAGAGATGATTTCAAGCACTTCCATGTGGATGTGTGTTGACTTCTAAGAATCATGTGGATTCTTTCTGAGCTATGCAGAACAGTCAGAAAAAGTGTGGCAACTTACGTGCTTCCAGAGGCAGCATTCAGTCCTGGCACCTGAGCTCTGGCAACTGCATGGTTCAGGAAGCTAGCATGGTGAAAGTTTGGACCTCTCCTGTGGCACTTACATCTGCTTGTTTTTATCATCATCTGATGGATGCTTTATTGCCTGTGTGAAGAGATTAGGAAATTTGATTTCCAATATCTACATGCAGATCTAAGTTGCAGAGGGCACCAGCTAAAAGGGCCTTCTTCCTGGGCAGGCTGGACAGAACTTCATCATCATCCCAAGGCAGAAGGGAGGCCTGGGGAAGTCAGGAAAGGCACTGCCCTCATTCCTCTCTCTGTGGATAGAGAACTTTGTTCTACACCCCTGTTGATTCTGTGCATCTCCCTTTACTTAATTCATACCTTCTGTGCTTCTCCCTTTACTTAATTCATTAAATGCTCCAGTCCTAGCATGATACGCATGAAAAATGTATGTGCACACTGCAGAATAATGGCACATGTACAGCAGCTGGGTGCACATATATTTAGCTGCCCACTTCTGAAGAAAGATATATGCTTTGTGCATGCAAATGAGTGTTTTGAGCAGTTAGGTGCCTGAAGTAGAAAATAATCCACGCGTTGGAGTTACTCACTGACAACTAAACTCAGCAGCATGGAGTCCACATTTGTTCTCTCTTTGTGGCTTTTGGATCCATTTTCTCAGTTCAAAAGATAAACTGAATATTTTCTCTACTGCCACGCCTTTCCACCTAGATCTAAGGTTCCTGAACGGCCAATTGCATTCAAACAGTATTTTCTTTAAAAATTAGAAGTAAAAATGGAATCATTTATGTCCTGTTAAGCTTATTTTTTTTAAAATCAAAGCTGTTTTTGCACAGGATTCTTTCTGGTTTTCCTTCTGTGAAGGACACAACATGAAACGAAGTTATTAAAACCAGTTCTAAAAATTATTCTTACATGCAAATGGAAGCTTGCTCAAGTTTAGTCTGCAGTTAGTTGAATCACTGAGAACACTAAATCCAGTATTAAATAAAATTCCTACTGTGCTCTAAATTATACAGCATCCAGTTAAGTCAGGATGGTTCAAAATGAGATCTTCCAGTTCAAACTCCTGTTGTACTGCAAAGAAAGAAGAAAAGCTCATAATTTGTGCCTCTAAATTCATGTTTTCCCCAACCTAAATTTCAGGTTGAACAAAAAAGAAAGGTCTCTTTCTTTAACATGTCAGTCTCTGTAGAAGAGCTGTTATGTGACTTTTTTTTGGCCCCAGACTTTCCTCCTTTTTTCCCTCTGCTTTATGAGTAATCTGTGCTACTTTTTTGAGTTTTTCATTATCCTTTTCCACCCAAGCATTTGCCACAGAGTAGGTGCATAAGACACGTCCATGAAGCAGTATCTCTGTTCAGATTTGATCCCAACTCTGTAAGAGCTGGGAAGGCTTTTCTCTTTTAACAGTGTGCACATACTTGAATAACAGGTTATTCCTTTGCATATCTTTATTTTTAATTGACACTGAGATGATTGAGGGTTTACATTTTAAATACCACATATAAAGAGGCAAAGCCTGGTTTTCTCCCAAAGGGGTAAAAAAGGGATTAGTACTTATAAAGAGCTTTTTAAGAAGTGTAACCTTTGTGCCTTTCACCATGGCTTCATGGACTCAGTTCCAATTTTATTTTTACTTGGCAACTGGAAGCTGTGACACCACAAATACATGAAAGTGAGGAAAACAAGACCTAGATGCCAAAGCTTGTGATGTGTTTAGTGGCTAGAGTGAGGAATGATATTTTTGATGTTCAGTATTTGCACAGCTGCTGCTCAGCAGTGAGAATGTGTAGCAGGCATGGGAGGGCTCAGAAAGAGGAATACTAAGGTCTGCGTAGTGCTGGCATTTGATGCTTCTGTGTTTCCAACTGCTCTTTTCACAGGAATGTAGGATCCTGAAGAATTTTTCCTCCTTGAGGGCCATCATTTCAGCTCTGCAGTCCAACTCCATCTATCGGCTAAAGACCACCTGGATGTGTGTTTCAAAGTAAGTCTCTCCCTCAATTCCCAAGGGCCACAGGGCTCAGTGCTCTTTCTTTTCATCTTCTCACTCTTCCTGTTCTGTTCCTTCACTGATATGGGTCCTGTCAGAAGAACCTCCAATTCCTGGGAGGCTCAGACCCCTTCTGTGAGCTCTTCTTTCCTGTTGAGGGGACAGTCGGCCCTTGGGGGTACTGGATTCTGTCCTTTTTAGCATATTGGGTCTTTCACAACCTCTCTAGATAGACTATGGCACTGACTTCTCACCCAGCTTATGCTCACTGCTCCCAGGTCACCATGATCTTTGCTTGTTGTCTTCTCTCCCATAAAGCTTGAGGAGATCTAGCTTGCTACAAATTGTCCCAACTCTTCTTCTGGTGCTGATATTTGCATAAAATATATTCTCAAACTACAAAATCTGGTATTGAAGACAGTATTTCTTCCAGGGGAATACTCTATTGTGTTAATAATATTTACTGCCTGCCCCACAGATGCCAGAAGCTGCTGTCTAGAAAAGATGGTGCTTTGCTCATTTAGTTTGGGGAAACAAGATTTCTTGCCTTTGATAACTTAAAATATCACTCTGCTAGGCAGTATCCTTCTGTATTTCCTCTCCACAGAGGTGTGATTTTCCTTCTGCTGCCCTGTGTTTCTGATAAAAATATTGCCTACCTTGTGTTTATAGTGTTGGGCAAAAAACTACTCATACACTTAAATGCATCCAGCTTTCCAGAACGCACGGAATAGGGCAAAAATTAAGAACTTGGGTTCCCTCTCAGCTGTTTTTCTGTTCCTTTGTATCCCCTGATCCATTCTCACACTGCACAGACAGTTGAAAGCCCTGCCAAGGGACTGCTGATGGTGTTTCTTTGCTGTCAGATAAGGCTCAACTGGAGCACCAGAATATCCCACCAGGGCTCCCTGGAGATGTGCAGCATCTCATTGGATGTATTTTGGTGTTGTTATCTTTTATAAGTTGAATTGTTAACGACTAATGAGCGAGAAACAGAAATTTGATTGGATTCTAGAGTGCTTGGTAATGACACAAATTATTTAATCTTCTCCTGTGCAGGGACATCCTGCTGATGTATGAAGAGCTGTCTGAGATCTTCTCAGATCATGACAATTATCTGACAAGTAGGGAGCTGCTGATGAAGGTGAGAACCAGTGAATTCAAAGCTTGTGATCTCAACAAAATCTGAGGTTTAACCGTTTTTGAAGCCAACTGCCAAAGTTCATTTCTTCCTCAAGGATCTTATGTGGTGCTTTAGGGAAGAGCAGTCTGTAAAACCTGAACCTTTTGCTGGGCTGAAAGTTGATTTCCTTGTTCCTGGATGAATCAGTAGCTTTAACCTGGATAGCCACAAGCAGAAGGTTTTGGCAGCATGATCTGGGTGGGCAGCATGTCTTGCAGCCCCTCAGCCCATGAGGTCACTGGAACAATGCCACAGCTTCAACTGAGGAATCAATCCAAGATATTTATCCCACTATCCTCTACCTTTCTTAGAACAAGGAAGCAGGGCTGGGAATTCCAAAGGAACAGGCTTTCTACTCTGTGTGTGGCCAGATGGACAGCAAAGTGGGCTCTGTGTGGAACATTTTGACTTACCCACTCTCGTGAGTGAACCTCAGTAAGCTCAGGAGCCTGAAAGGGGTGAGGAGAAATGGCAGGGAAAGGTTATATTCTGCAAAAACTAAGGAATATTTGTGGCAGGTTATTCCCATTTACATAAAACAGTTCCTATAAACTCGCGAACCAGTTATTGTTTGGCAGTTCTGTCCAGCCAGTTTGGCATCTATCCCTCAGCCTCTTGCCTTAGGATCCGAAACACTGTTTTTTGCTCAGGAATGGTGGGTGAACACATTCACATCTGTCAGTCTGTTTTGTTTATAATCCATTTATCAACATCTGTAGGTAAATTTAAAAGCAGGTGAGACCATAATAAGTGTAGACGGAAAATGTGTGTTCAGAACAGCCTGTTTAACTAAGTATTAAAAGACAAAACAACTCAGACTGAGCCCAGACCTCTGGCTCCCAGTAAATCACCCTCCAGCTGCCCTAAGTAGATTTGAAAAACATTTTGGAAGCAGTGAGAGGAGAAAGATCCTACAAAATAGCTAGAACCTCTCCCTACTTTTAATCTTGGACCATTTGGAGGATTAATATTCACTGAATCCTCAAAGACTTAGTTTCCCTTTTGCTATAAATAGCCCCTGTAAGGGATGTAATGTTTGACCTTGCCTGTCCCTCCTGCAAATCTAAGTGTGGAGCAAGCAAAATGTCACTGGAAACAGATTGGGTGGCATGGAGAGCAGACAGTCTTCTCTCCTCCTGAACAGACATTGATAATGATTTGTGACACATCTATGCAACCACTGGAATAAACATGTAACTCCAACATCCCCTATGCATCCAGGGAAATAAAGGTTTTAAGAACTATGGTGAAATATCTCATCCATTCATAGGAACGCTGGAGTTGTGGTGATGGAAACCTAGTCCTTTAATTTCCTGCATGGTTTTGGATTAGTCAGTAAGCCACAGTCGCTGGATCTCAGTGTTGCAGCTTAAGAAAAACAACAAAGCATTACATAAGATGGAGATATTTACTTGTAGCAGGCCTGATTAGGTAATTAGCCAGAAATCCTGACTTCAGGAGTGTTGGATAGATCATCAGGACCCCTGAAGTATGTCTGAGCTTCTCTGATTTAAACTCCCAAGAGATTTTCAGCAGCACTTGGATTTGGCCACAGTCATTCTGCAGAAAAATTTCCTCACATTCATCTTGTGTAATTTTTGTCTGAAATTCTCAATCAGCATCCAAGTCCCAGGAAATCAACATGTATATAGACACGTGTGTCTGCACAGCAAGTATTTTTTGCTGGCTAGTCTGGTTAAATGTGCTTAATATTTTGCATGCATGTAGTTGGCAGTTTATCTACCACTTGGATCCTCCATTAATTACCTTTAATTCTCTTCCACCTCACAGGAAGCAACATCCAAATTTGCGAATCTGGACAGCAGTGAGAAAGAAAATCAGAAAAAGTCACAGAAGCGACTTCAACTTCAAAAAAACAAGGTGTGTTTGGGGGGTTTTCCTCCCCTTTTTGAACTGGTAACATGATTAATCCTAATTGGTCAATTCTCTAAGAATCAAAATCTAGAAAGGTCTTCACCAGAGTGAGTGGGCAGGAGGGGATTGATGGATATAAACATGCGGTCATCGCTTCCAGCTCTCTTGTTTCGGTCCTACAAGAAAGAGTTCCATTATCTACTCTTGTTACACCTTAGAGAGAAACACAATTACCATGTAATAAAATACATGCTGCTGTGAATACTGAAGTTCTTGTAAATAAAGAAAATTAGTTCTGCCAGAGCAGAAGTCTTATTTACTTTCAAACATGCTGATGAAGCTTCTGACATACCAGCTTGAAAATTGCACATACTTCTACAGAGATTGCTTTGTAAAACGTGTCTGGGTTCAAGTCTGCTGGTGAAAATAGTTTTTGTCTCAAAGCTGGCAAAGATTTAAAAGGACAGGAGAAGAGAAATCCGGAATAGGGAGGCAAAAGTGCTGAATATGATTTTTGTCTTTTTGTATTTGTTTGGAAGAAAGACAGATCCTTCTGGATGGTAGAAACAAGTGTTCGCTTCACAAGTGTATAGCCAGCCTGAACTCTTTAAGTGCTGTCAGTCTAGAAGTTTAAAGTGTGAATACTTAGCATTAAAATGCAGTGGATGGCTGGGGACGATGGTCACTTCTTGGAGAGAAAAAAATTGTGGCTTGATTTGACTTCACTATCACAAGGTATAATCACACATCATTAAGTAAAAATCCATGGGGATGAAACAGAAACTGCTCACACAGGCTAGCCAGGATCATTCCCCAGCTCCTTCTCTTGCAGCAGGTGGCAGAGGGACCCTATCCCTGGTCCTCAATGCTTCTCCCAAAGGCAGGGTTTCCTGGGGACCCACTGTTGTGAATCAAAGGTGGCAATACTGTAATACAAAACCAATGGCTGATACCTGTGAGAGCACTGTGGTTTCACTGGAATTGGATTTAAATTCTAGATTATCTAATGAAAATGATGTAATGGAAGAAAACATAAGACTGATGCTTGGTTAAGCAGATTAATTTCATTTTCTTACACAGGAATGTTAAGGAATTCTAATTATTCTCATTTTTCAGTTAATTAATCCAGAGCTGCTCTGCTCACTTGCAGGGAGTGATGCAAGGCACAGTCCCTTACCTTGGCACCTTTCTGACTGATCTCATCATGCTTGACACAGCCCTTCAGGACTATGTTGAGGTAACTTGTGGCAATTTTTTGGAATGCTAAATACCTTCTCAGCCTTCCCAACTCAGATGACTTGTTTCTGTATCTTGTTCTGCAGCTCTTAAAATATCTGTTTACAAAAAGAAAAGGGAAGCAATATGCAGTATTATTAACTAGAACTTGTGTGCTTGTGTGAGTTTTTGTGCATTTATCTCAAGGTACAAGTCTGGCTCTTCTCTGATCCCTTCTCTTACCTTTCAACAGGGTGGCCTGATCAACTTTGAGAAGAGACGAAGGGTAAGTTGAATGTTCTGTGATTTTTGGTTTATTGATAGCCTCTGAGCATTTGTCTTTAGGAGCTGAACCAAACCTGGTGGCAGAAGACCTTTGCTTTCCAGAACACACAGTTAAGTAAATATCTTCCTTCTCCTGCAGGAAACTCTTTGTAGGTAAAAGGCTGCAGATAGCAAACCAGGTACAGAAGATTGAGAAACAAATGCTGTCAGTTCTTCTCCTTTCTGGCCTGATCTTTGTTGGTCAGAGATAAGTAATGTCCTGTAGGAGTAAAGGTGCTGGGGTTACTTTGGGCTGAATGAAGTGAGGCCAAATCTCCATCCTGGGGCTTGAAAGAAGATTTGGACTTGGCTGAGATGGAGCCATTTCCTCCCCTTAACTGCTCAATAACCTGCCCTAAACAATCCAGGGTTATTCTGGTAAAGTGTGTGTACAAGTTCAATTACAGAAGAGCAGCTCACTCTGGTCATGTGCCTTAAGGGTAGCATTTTACATTCCTACGGAGCATGTGAGTGCACATTATGGATACTAGGGAAAAATCCTGACCTTTATTGTTAGAAAAAATTGGTTCTTGAAATACTCAACTGCAACTGAACTTCACATCAAGCTAAGTTTGTCCTGGATTGCTTGTTGTATGTTTTCAGAGTATGAATTAATATAATCTTGTTTTCCAATTTGACTTTCTGTTTGATTATTTATTTTCTTAGGAATTTGAAGTCATTGCCCAAATCAAGCTCCTGCAATCCTCATGCAACAGTTATTGCCTGATACCAGACCAAAAATTCATTCACTGGTTCAGGAGGCAGCGACACTTAACAGAGGAGGAGAGGTAAGTCCTCAGTGCAGCTGACAAACCTCTGTTCTCACCCCCCACACACACCTGGGCAGGTCATGGCAGGAAAATACAAATACTGGAGAGCACTAGTTTTAAAACCCATTATAAAGTGAAATATCCTCTTGGCCCTGGTAAAGTGCAGGCAGAGCAGTGTTCCTCTTTGTGGCGCTGCAACCTTCTGTGAGGCGGGAAAAACTGAAAGATTCTTGGATTTCTTGAACATTGCTGCTGTGAGATGTAGAACTACATGACACTGTACAACTAAATAACATCATCTGCAAATATTCACCTGCTGGCCTCTGCCCTGCAGTTACAAACTCTCACGTGAGGCTGAAGCAGCTGCTGATACCAACATCCTGTCTCCAAAATCCCAGAAAAGCATGGTGAAGAGGATCAGCACGTGAGTATGAAGGGGCAGAGAGGTCTTGGGTGGGAGTATGGACCTGGACAACTCAAACAAGCAGTGCCCATTTAATCAGCTGCAGAACCTGGCTGGGGATACACAACGCTGCACTGCTTTAAGGAGAAATGCAGCTTTGTGGCTGAAGCTGTCCCTTTGTGTTGCTAGAAGCAGTCATGAGGATTATTAAAGATAGAAGAGACTAGAATAAAGAATCCTTCCTATGGTGTCAAAAAAAGGAACCATTTTAGTGCTGATCATAATTCAGTACCTATTGTGTAGTAACTTTGCTGATTGCAGCAGGAAAACAGAATAAATGAGGATAAAGTCTGGTCTATTATTAGTCAAAACCGCTATACACATGTAAAAATTCATTGCAAGATTTTAATATGAAAATTAAGGTTAGCAAAAAGGCATTTGATAGCGGAAACAATTTGCCTTCCAGCTGGAGAAGGGAAAAAAAAAATAAAATCTTGGAGTATGGTCCAATTTGGTGTAATACCACGAAGATTCAAACAAGAGGTGGGTAGAGGATAGGGCCATGGAGCTGGACATGGGAAACAAGAGGCTAGCAGGAATGCAGGGAAAGCTGCATGGAATAAAGCAGAGTTCAAAGACTGAAGTAAAAATAGCTTCACTCTGAATGTGTTTTGCAACTGAATACTGTAGAAAAGCAGTGAGTGACACCTGTCTAAGCTGTATGAAATCATTAACTGCACGCTGATGCTCCCTGCTCCTCCTCTTGGTGGGTCAGACCAGCTTGTTTCCTTTGACACTTCTTTCAAGTCACTTGACCTGCATTTAGAAATGAGAGAAACAGAGAGGGAGTGCCTTTAATTTATACTTTAGACTCTCCCTATTGTGTGCATCTCCAGCATTCTAGAGAGAACCTGGTACCTGTGGTACCATGATTGAGGGCAAGAATTGGCAGTGGGGTGAATTTGCCCTTTGAAGCCCTTTTTTCTATTAAATGAGCCTGAAAATATGAAGAGACTGAAGGGTAATGCTGTTCTAGTGAGGCATGAGCTGGTTGTGGCCTTGCAGCTGTGGGCACTCTGGGTCAGGAAGGTGTGTTAGCCTGTAACAAAGCCTCTGTATAAACACCACAGAGGAAGTGAAAACAACAGGCCACTCCAGAGAGGAAAAAACTCCAGAATTGTAAAAGTTCTGAACCAAGGGACAGCTTTGTTCAGCCCAGCTCTCACTTACTGGCTTTTATGCTTTCTTTCTATATTAGACTTTTTCTGGGCACCGATGTGTTCACTCCACCCAAAGAACAACCCCCAAAGAGCTCTCCTGTAGGAGGGAGCTCTGGGGAAAGCACGGATTCAGCCAGTGTTTCATCGTGTGAGTTTAATCACTCTGAAACTGAGGATGTGTTTGTGACTCCCGTCTCTAGTCCTGAGGACCCTCTGAAAAAGGTACAGCTGAGGCCACTGCACACTGCAGGCAGGCCCAAGACACTTGTCCAAGGCTCTTGGTCTTGACTAGAGCATTTGTTTTAGTGAAATGGAGAGAGAAATGTGTAAAAATGGAAGTAATCCAGTCAGGGCTCTCGCACAATGTTCTGTGTTGTCCCTTACAAAGTGGGTTTGTTCCTGTTAGGAAGCTTTTGAGCAAGGCAGAGGGAGACAAAGGCAAAGGCTGAGCCTGGGAAGAAAGGGGGCAGTTTCAAGGAGAATGGCAGAGAGGGAGGGGTGTGTGTATTTCCACTTGTGTAAAGGCTCTCACTCTCACCTGGACGAGGAGTGCTTGTGACACCCCCTTGCTCATTCCCAGCCGGTCCCAGTTCCTGGCTGTCCGCCTACAGCCTCACGCTGTTCCTTGGATCTGCTGCCACCTCCTGGGCTGCTCTTACTGCGAGGCCATTCTGTCCCAGCAGGACAGAAATTGTCATTAAAATGCTGTAATCAATCAAGTGAAGTTCAGTTTTCTTGGAGGGAAGGAATCTCCCTGCCAGCAGGCTGGGCAGAGTGTGGGTGAGGTTTTGTCTGTGCCTTCTGCTTTCTCTTGGTCCTCTGGCACAATGACAAACCCAGACACACCAAATGTCCCCTTCGTGACAGCACTTTCCTTTCTGTTGTGCAGATCTCTGGCTACCCCTTTCCCTGCTGTTCTCCTGACTCGTCCATGAGCACACCTTCCTCAGGGGTGTCATCTTTACCCTCATTGCTGCAGGCCTCCAGTGACGACAAGAGCTCTGTGGGCTCTGACAAGGGCTATGACTCTGACAAGGGCTCCATCAGCTCTGACAAGGGCTACGGCTCCAGCAAAGTCTCCATCTTTGACCCTGGCTCAGGCTCGGACAGTGGCTCCATTCCCACCAGGGACTCGGGCTCAGTGGCAAGCAGTGCCACCAAAGTGCTGCCTGTGTACAACCGGCAGAGTGAGGGCTCATGCATCATCCGGGTCAGCATGGATGGGCTCCATGCTAGCGTCTACAAGAGCATCCTGGTGAGTGGCACGGCTCTGGGCTTAGCAGATGTGCCCATGGGGGGATGACTGAACCTATCACTGTGTTTGGAGAACACTCCTTCACTGAGCTGGTTCATCAAACCTGGCTGGAAACAGAAAATGGCACATAGTGCCATGCAGAATGTGTGGAGCCTGGTAGGAATGAGGTATTTGGCAACAGCTTTAGGGAAGTTTCTAGTCTGGAAATTGAAGTTTGTGTTCTATCAAAAAGCTCCAGATGAAGCACTATGAGCACACTGAGGTTTTGACATAAGATAGTACGTTTTCTCTGGAGCAGCTTTCCCCAGGAGCTGGTTTCCGGAAACGGGGAGCTGCACGGGAGGGAGTTGACAAGGCCTTTAATTCTTCAGCTTCTCCCTGTGAAGGGAGAATCACCCTCCTCTCACCAGACCAGCAGCCCCAGAATTCAGGCATTTCTCTCTCTGCTTATTCCACAGATATATCCCAGCAGTGCCACTGGTACTGGACCACGGGTGATGTGGCTTAGCTCAGCTGGGGACTCTCAGTGCCTGCTGGGGGAAAACAACTGTGGGGTAGTTCTCAGCACCTCCAGTTCCTGATTTTAATGGTCTCACTTCCCCAAATCCAGCAAGTTGTTCCCTAAGGGCCTAATGGATTTGGCTCTTGGTGAGACTGCAGGAGGCTCTGGAGGAGCCCTGTATCTGCTCTAGATGCATTTCCACAGCACACAACAAACAAGGCCAGAGAGCTCTGCAGGATGTCTAAGGACGCGCTTAGCACAGGAGCCTGTAAACAGCAGCTGGGGCAGCTTTTCCTGGGGACTTTTGTGGCTGGTGAGAATGAGGTCTCAAAGGGAAGAGACACTGGGATTTACTGCTGCCTCTATTAATACTGTATCTTTCAGCTTGAACTAAAAAGCCACCACCTCCAAATGTCATAAATAGTAAGTTTAGTATCTGTCAGCACCTGCCCCTTTGTTACTGACCTGCTTTTTTGGTTTTCTGACATCTCTTCCAAGAACAAGCAGTCAGGTTTTTGCTAACTACTAAATCACGAGAGTGAATGAGAAAAATCTTTCATTGCACCTTATTTTTCCAGATAACCAACCAAGACAGAATCCCTGATGTCACCCAGCGAGCCTTACTAAAGCACAACCTCGAGCCTGATGCAGTTGAAGATTATGAGCTTGTGCAGGTCATCTCTGAGGACAAAGGTAGGGAAGCAGAACTCTGCTGCTGCCTGGAAAGTTCTGTTGGATTTCAAAGGAAAGACTAAAATGGGAAGCATTAGAAATGCTGTGGACAGGTCACATTCAGTGACAATCCTCTGGCTGCTTAGGGTGGTTTCTGTCAGCACAGGCAGAGCCAGCTCCCGGGGTGCCAGGCTGACTTTGTGTGTGCCTTGCAGCCATAGAATGATCACAGGATCATGGGTGGGGGTGATGTTCTGCCTCCCCTGGAACCAGGCCTTCGGATCCCACCCATCATCAACCTTCTCCAACAGTCTGCTAGGGCCTCTGCCAGGCTGAGCCTGGCCTAAGCCTGCCCCCGCCACCCCGTGCCCTGCTCCCTTTCCTGCAGGAAGCTGCTCCCAATGCTGCTCTGGCAGAACGGGGAGACAGCCTTGCCCACACCATCCTGCTCCCTCTGGTCCCTCAGCTTTCCTGCCACTGTGCAGCCCACTAATGCTGCTCTGGCTCTGTTCTGCAGAGCTGGTGTTCCCCCGTGATGCCAACGTATTCTATGGCATGAACAGCCACGTGAACTTCGACTTCATCCTGCGGAAGAAGGCAGAGCTGGTTGGCTGAGGTTGCCCCTGCGCTGCCCTCCCGGGTTACAGGGAATCTGTCAGAATTCCCTGTTGAAAATGTGCAACTGGAGCAATGGGCAGCCCTGGTGCAAAGGCTCCAGCCTGCTCCATTTGTTTCGAAGACACTCCATGAGCCAACTCTGTTAGTGAGATAAGAGTCTCCTTCATGCCAGTATTATATAGAAGATCATCTGAACTTATGAATGAACTGCACTTGCCTTTGCATGACCATCATGAATGGGACAGACACTACTTGGTGTTGGATGGAGGTCTTAATGTCATGACAGGATGGTTTTCCTTGGACTCGGTTAAGCCATGGACCAGAAATCAATGCCTTTTGTGTGCATCCCATGTGATGGATAGACATCCTCCCAGTGTGCAGTTCGTCTGTTGGAACTGAACTTTTAAAAGCCATAAGTAAGACATTGGATTGTAAGCAGCCCTGATTTGAGATACGTGAAATACATACAGTATTTCTGGTTCTGGTGGTACCACTGTGCATCCCACTGTGCAGATCTAGGAGTTATTATCCACGCAGATAGCTTAGGATTATTAAGGATCATTAGTGAAAATAGATTGTTATTCACGCCTGGGCCTTTTTCCCCCAGTTCTGTGGCACTAATTTGCAAAACAAAAGTTTTACACTACATTTGGATTTATCACTTTTGTTTACAGGCAGGTAAAACAGACTGTACAGTAGGTCTACTGTACATCCAAGAGTCCTGTGGTAGGTCCCACAAGCCTGGTGTAGGTCACCCTCTGAACAATTTATGAATTCCAGTTGTTTGTTTAGAGGGTGACAGAGGGGGGGTTGTTACTGAGCCTTAATCTTTGCCCAGAGTTAGGGCAAAAGTAGAAGTTCAGTTTTCTCTGCTTTTGGTGCCTGTACAATGCAGTTGCTTGTGTACATAGCATTGCTCCTACTGTATATAGTACTGCTCACTGAAAGGGTGTATGGCAGTATTAAGCTGAAGCATGAATGTTCTGGATTTTAAAATTACACTTTCCAAATGTTTATATATGTTATGTTTTTAACTGCTTACCTGTAATCTTTATATGATAAGTATATAAATTGTTTTTCATTAATATTTGCCTGGAATCAGTCAATTTCCTTTTATTAGTGTATGTCAGATGTGTAAAAACACCTCATACCACTTCCCTTGCTATCACTTTCTTCAACTTCTCCACTTTTACTGTTTAACTTCTCAACAGCAAAGCCAAAACCCACCCAGTGCATCAGCCACACACACAGCCTGTGAAAGATAGGGATATTGTGTGCTATTTCTTGAGGTTTCAGCTTAAAGATTTCTGTAACTGGGTAACAGAGATTGCACACCAATTTTATGTCTTCTGCATAAAATCATACTCTCAAGTTACTGAATGCCTTCTGAGGCTAGATACTACAAAAGAAGGGTATCTATTTATCCCCATTGTCTCAATCATGGTGTTTTTCCTCCTGCTATCCCAGTCATTGCCTTGTTGTGTTTTTTCCTCCCTGCATATAATGCCAACATTCAGATGAACAATTTACACACAACAGCCCCTTTGCCATTTCACAAATCATTTTAACATGAGGGGAGGCTCCTAAAGCTGCCCAGAAGTGTCACACTCGGTCCCTGAACTATAGCTGCTCTGGCCACTTAAAGGCACCTCCCATGTTAAACTGAGGAAGACAAAACAAAGACTACCTAAATCTGATTTTTAAACTACCTCAGGCCACAAAACCCAACACCAGACCCTCACTCCATTTCCTTCAGGATCAATACAACCCATTGGTGAACTTGGAATTTAACATGCCATATTGAGAGCCATTACAGCACTTTTCCATCCTTAACCCAAAGCAAAGATCAAGCTGGTGGGTTCCAAGCAGTCTTACTGCAATTAATCATTTTTAGGGCCTGCCACCACAGCCTGCCTTATGAAGAAGCTGCCAGAATGCTGGTTCAAAGCTGGTGTTCATGCTCAGTTTTGAAACCCATTAGATGAATCAAAAAAAATTCCAAGTTGTATCAGGGACCCAAGTTGCATCTAAGGCACTGCTGTATTTGGCCCATGGTTGTACATGTCAACAGAATAATGAAGAACACTTTGATGGTGGGAACCTGACCCTTGAAAGAGAAACAATGTATTGGTCAGTTGATAGGACTCTAACCTGTGAAAGAGGAACAATGCACAATGAAGCTGGTGTTAGCATGAAGGTGGTAGGTATCAGGAACCATTGTGGCCTCATCTCACACACTGGCCATGTGTGAGATGATGTCGTAACTAGAAAAATTCCACTCCAGAGGAGGAGATATAAGGCTTGGTTCTGGGGTGGAGGAGGTGAGGAGAACAAGATGCACACCACTTCGATCCAGGGGATGCCCTCTGAAGATGAACAGCCTGTTTGCCCCTCCTGCCTGAGCACCATGCTCCATCTCCTTCATGCTCAGCAGCTTTTCACTAATTCAGGAGTTGGTATGTGTTATTTCCTACCACAACTAATAAAATAAATTTGCTTTGCAATCACAATTGCATCCCAAGTTTTTTGTGTACAGGCATCCTCTCAACCCGTAACAAAAATAAGTACGTGGAAGTGGAAAAACACCAGAAAAATCCAGAGGTGTTTTAAGTGGCTCCTACTTTTCCAAAAAACATTTAATTCTCAGAGAGCAAAGCTTGAGCAGCACCAGCCAAGGAACTGAAAATACACGCAGGGAACAGCACTTGAAACATGGGTAGAACCACTGGCAGCACCCAGGTCTTGCCTATATCAATAAATGGAGAACTGTGGATGTATAAACACACACATAAAACACACAGACATGGTAAAGGACCAATCAGCAAGACTGAGTCCTTGTCTGCTCTGAAATGGACACAGGCATTTAATTCTTATATCTTTCATTTGTTGCCCTCCCCTGAAGCCATCATCAAGTCCCCAGTGCCACTCACTTCTCGAGTCAGCTAAAAGGAAAAATGTTCACAAAACCCCCCAAGCTAAAAACCCCAGCCCTGTTGTAAAAGTTGTTTTTCATAAACTATTACTCTGCTTAAGGAAATCAGAGTTAAAGCAAACTCAGGTTCCCTGTGCTCCCTAACCAGCTCCACTTTTCAGCAGTTCTGTCCCAGGCTGACACATCCCCACATGCATGTGTCCCCACCCTGCCTTGGCTGCATGGGCTGGCTATGAGGCCAGGGACCCCAGATGCTCCAGTACAAGGCTGTGCAAGTGATGCACAGAGCTTTTCCATCTTTCATTATTTGAATGAAGTTAAAAAAAACAAAACAGGGATAAATACAGGTATAAAACAATTCAGATACCTTGCATTTTTTTAAATCTATGCTTTGTTTGCTGGTGAGGAGCACCCCATGCTGATGGAGGAAAATTATGTCAGCACACAGCAAGGGGTAAGGAATGAAGGAAGGAGAGGCTGCTCATAGGCGCTGAGGTGGGTCATGGAAAAAAAAGGATGAGGGTGGAAGGGACATGGCTGTCATATCCACAGTGACTTGACAGTACTGGATGCTCACCTGGTCACAGAGCCCTGCTCCTGCAGGAGCTTCTCACCAACACCTCTGGGACTTCCAATGTCCTTCACGCAGGACATGTGGGCTCATGAAGAGAGAGACCTGTGAAAGAAGCAAGAGGGATTGTGAGGAAGGAATCACCCAGGCTGTGTTTGGGCCCATGGTGCCATCTCTAGATTCACCAGGTCATGTGGGCATCTGCTCCCACATGGACACCAGCAGAAATTTGGCTTCCAGGTGGGAACTGCAGAATGGGCACAGAATGAGCCAGTGACTCCATGGGGGAGGGACACAGCCAAGAATCCCTTGAGGTGGACTTCTGTTAACTTCCAGTTAACATTCAGGGTCAGGCTGAAGGGGGCTTAAAGCAACCTTGTCAAGTGAAAGGTGTCCCTGCCCATGTCAGGGGGTTTGACTGGGACCTTTAGAGGTGCCTTCCACAACCCAAACCACTCCAGGACACTCCCATGCAATGAAAAACACAAACAGCTGCTCATCTTGCACCAGGTTCTATGTATTATCAGACCGGCTGACAGGTAATAATAGCATGTCTTCTGCAGCAGAAAGCACAACATTGATCAGTAATTATTCAAAACAAACAAAAATTAAAACCAAAACCCCAGCCACACATACTCAATGCACAGATCTGCCAACAGGTGAATCCCCAGATGGCAATTCCAGGAGGGAATTCTCCCACTGTCCAGAAGTTCAGGGTCTGTGCCAGTATAGTCTGTTGTCACCTGGCCTCTGAGAAAGGTTTTTTTTAAAAAAATAAACACCATATCCTGCTGGCATGTGAGCCAACAGCAAAAACATCAGAACTCATCCAAAACACAGAAAAGTTTGCTCCTCACATGAAAAATTATCCAGGCAAGTTGCCTTTCCGTCCTGTAACACACAATTCTGTTGGGCTGTTGAGAGACTAACATTGCTGTAGGTTCTTTTGGTTTTATAAGGAGAGTTTGTAACCCAACTTTTTACATTTCAAGTTCTCAAAACTCCTACACTTGCTTTTATGACCTAAATAAACAGGCCTACCAATAGGTCATGGGGGTTTTGTTTCCCTGAAGGACTAAGTTGAGGCAGGGGTGAAGCAGGATGCGACATGGACCAACTCTGCCTGCATTCCCTTCAGGCAGTGCAGAGACAAATAAATTCAGCCACCTCCACTTGCATGGCTTCCATGACTTCAGACATTCCAAGACATCCATTCTGGATCCAGAGGCCTGTTTAGATGGGATGCAGCAAGATTAAAAATGAGCTGATGGGAAGCCAGCACTGGTTTTGTACAGGAGTGTGATGGGGAGAAGACACGACAGGAGCACTGCTCTCTGCATTGAACATTTTGGGGAAACATCCTGTTTCTGACAGGGATCCCTTTAGAATACAAACCTGAATCCCCCAGATGCTCAGCAAACAGGGTGGTAAAAGCCTACAGATCTACAGGGAGGAAGAGTGAGGGAGCAGCCCAGATACAGCCATCCCAAAAGGCATTGACATTTGTACACCTCTATATATTAATCTTTATAAATACAGTGTTCTTCTACACAAGGAATTGTGGAACAACATAATTCTAGGCTGTTTTCTTCTAACAAAAGCTTGCCGGGGCTTTTGTTTGGATCTGGAACGCTTGTTCTTTCTCCTTGGTGTCCCACCCTGTCCTTGGAGGCCTGGGCAGGTGTCTGGTCCAATCCCGTGCACGGCCCTTGGGAGTGGTGGGAAGGAGACCACATGAAGAGCTGCTCTACAACTTTCAAGGGTGAAAAGCTAAAGTGTGAGGCAGGTTCAGCTGTCAACAGAGTCCCAGGGAGGTGGGCAGTCATAGCTCATCCCTGGATGATGGCGTGTCAAGGGACGACTGGGAGGGCAGGGCGTCTTTGTTCTGGGCGTCACTGTGGATCTTGCCCTGTTGCCGGGACTTCCAGGAGTGTGTTCTGTCCCAGTCTGTTGACACGGTCTCATTGTCCCAGATGGTGGAGGTCTCTGTGTCACTGAGGTAGCCCGGCTGCCCGGTGTAGTGTGTGGGGTAAACAAGAAGGGGTTCTGCTGAAAAGGCCTTCAAGTCTCTGGACTCGTAGTACTCCATGTACTTTGTGCTATGGAGGAGAGAAACACCATTAGCAACAGGAATCTTCACTGGTGTCAAGCTTGTCCCTGGGAGACATGGCCAATCCAGGGAGCAGAGTCATCTGGGAGTGGGGGTAGGTGCTGGGGTACAGCCAGTACCACGTCCTTACAATCACACACACCTGTGCAATCAAAGCCTGTTCCCAGAGACAGGCAAGTGCCTCAGAAAACCAGCCCACAAGCCCTGCTCCAGGCAGGCTCAATTCCCCTCTGTCACCTCCTGTGACCTGTGCCAGGAGGACAAAACCAAGCACCACAAGGAGTCCCCACCAACCAGGCTACCAACAAGACTTGGCTTAAGATCAGACAGCAAGACCCAGCCTGTGTCCTCCCAAGCCACAGAGGGACTCACACAGGGTGCTTGTTGTACATGATGGGCAGGAATTCATCCACGGGCAGCATCTTGCTGAAGGGCTCAGCCCCGATGAGCTTCTGAGCCCCATGGAAGGAGA